TTTTTTTTTTGAGATGGAGTCTCGCACTGTCTCCCAGGCTGGAGTGCAGTGGCGCAATCCCAGCTCACTGCAACCTCCACCTCCCAGGTTCAAGATATTCTCCTGCCTCAGCCTCCCAAGTAGCTGGGATACAGGCACCTGCCACCACGCCTGGCTAATTTTTGTAATTTTAGTAGAGATGGGGTTTCACCATGTTGACCAGGCTGGTTCAAACTCCTGACCTCAGATGATCCACCCGCCTCGGCCTCCCAAAGTGCTGGGATTATGGGCGTGAGCCACCGTGCCCGGCCAACAGCAACTTCTCGAAGCGGCAGGGTACAGCAGCAGAGCAGGGCTACCCCATAGGCAGTGTGCCCAGAGTGGCAGCTCAGAGGCAGTTCTGCAGTCATGTTTATACCCACTTTTAATTACATGCAAGTCAAGGGGGAAATTATGCAGAAATTTCTGGAAAAGGAATGCTAACTTCCGGGTCATCAGGTAGTTGCCATGGAAAGGGGCCATAACAACTGTGTGTTGCCATGGTAACAATAAACGGACATGGCACTCGTGGACATGTCTTATGGAGAGGGGCTTTCGCCTCTTCCCTGTTTCAGTCTGGTCCAGAGTCTGAGCCCCACCTCCAGGGTCGAGTCCCGCCTCCTCCCTCAACACTAGCAGACCTTCTAACTCCAGGGTAGCACAGGTCCCACCCAGCTCAGAGCAGGTATTCTGGCAAGTTTTGGGTGCAGAACATCCTTGTCCTTGAGGCATGGTCTGGTGCAGGAGGCAGGCATGGCCACAGATGGTGACCGCGGCAGTGTGGGGCTCAGAGGCATGACTGAAACCCACAGGAAGAAGAGACTGCAGTAAACAGAATTAATGCCTCCTAAAGACGTCTGGGTCCTAATCCCCAAAACCCACAGATACACTGCCTTCATAGCAAAAGGGACTTTGCAGATGTGATTAAGTTAAGGCTCTTGACACAGGAAGATTATCTTGGATCCTCTGAGCCCAGTGTCACCACAAGGGTCCTTATAAGAGAAAGGCAGAGTCAGAGAGAATGCGAAGACAGAAACAGTGATGTGAGGCCGAAATCCAAGGAATGACACAGCCTCCAGAAGCCAGAAAAGGCAAGGACTGGATTATCCCCAAGAGCCTCAGAAGGGACACACTCATTTCGATCGCCACAGCTGTAAAGTAAGAAATTTGTTTAAACTACTAAATTGTAAGAATCTGTTACAGCACCATAGGAAACTCGTGCAAAGCTTAACTTGGCTGGGGATACAAGGGGAGGGCTTCCTGAAGGAGGCAGTATTGAGCTGAATGGCCACCGGAATAACCCTGAAGCCCACAGCTCATGAAGTTCTTTCCTCAATGCTCCCATTGCTAATTGTTAAGCATTTAACGGCATCAAATCCTGGGAGGTAGGTCCTGGTACTGTACTTCCCATGTAGTTACTAAAATTTAAGTATCAGTTCATTTAAAATGACATAAAGGCCAGGCGCAGTGGCTCACACCTGTAATCCCAGCACTGAGAGGTCGAGGTGTATGGATCACCTGAGGTCAGGAGTTTGAGATCAGTCTGGCCAACATGGTGAAACCCTATCTCTAGTAAAAATACAAAAAACTAGCCAGGCATGGTGGCAGACACCTGCAGTCCCAGCTACTTGGGAGGCTG